TAAATCATACATATGGAATTTCTGCAGATCTATACCCTTAAAAGATCAGGTTTGAGATGAATACTGATCAAAGGAGGCTATTTGGTGGAAGTGGAAGTAGAGGTCTATCTTAGCTTTATTACATTTGACAGTGTTGATAACCTTAGCCATACACCACCAGCAATTGTAAGTGTTTTCAAAAACCAGGTAACTCCATGACAATGAGATCTTGTACATGATTATTCAGTTGTTCACAGAAGTACACCCAGAAAAGGTTACATTTGTGATTAATGCAGATCCAAGGAGAAAATGTGATGGTGATAATGAAGCTGACCACAACTGACAATAGAGGTCCATCTTACATGTATTAAACTTAAGCAGAACATGAACTCACAATCTTTGTATTTATGTTTCAATTTCTTAAGTTAAGAACTAAAATTGTCACTAAGTGAGGACATTGATACCTGTTACAATGGGAAAATTTAAAAGCTGTTAGAAAGATCAAGCTGATACTGTAATGATGATTTTATTTTTTAGATCACCTTACTCCTCTTAACTTAAAAAAAATCATTATGTTGGTAAGATGGGGATGTGGAAACCAAAGATTTAAAGCTGTGGAATGCTACAAACACTAAAACAGTAGATCACTAACTGGGGTGTTTGCTATAGAAAATAAGTTACCCATTGAGATGTTTGTTGAGTTGTTTGTAAAACTTGCCCAAGTAATAATTTATGATTGTCCTGGGCTACTGGGCACATAATTTTCACACTTTGTATGTGGTGTTCCTGATTACAAATAAAGTAATTTCATTTTTGAAATATTTATTGTTCCTTTTTACTAGATTACATCTGTTGATCACTTCAATGAAGAAAAGTATGAAACAATCAACTTTACTGATGCTACATGTATTATTGAAATAAGTCAGTAATCAAACTTAAAACTTAAGATTTCATATATAATCAATTTGTTTACATTATTCCAATAGAGAGTAAGTATGCAATAAGTTAGAAATAGAAGTTATAAATTTCAAACGAATAAGTAGTATTTAAGTTAGACATGTCACAAATTGAACTTGTAACTACATGTATTTGTAGAAGTTACGTATATGTGCAGTCTAGCAAGAAATGTTTCACAAATATCAGTTCAGTTCAGTGACTTTACGAGTTTTTTTTAATATACTGAAATATAAAAAAAATGTATTGGATTATGTTTTAACAGTTCATTAATGCATTCTGAGTAAAAAGTGAATTATAAGTCATAGAATAACCTCTTAATTATCTTTTCCCTGCATTACTTAAGATTTATTGACATTAAACATTGTATATGTCTCAGAGCAGTTGTTACTAATTTGAAGAGCACAATCATCATGATAATTGAACTCCACAAAATATTTGGGCATTAAAAAGATCCCTAAGTCCATATAAAATGTCTCTTTTGGCAGTCTTGAACTTTAGCTTATTAATTAATGTTTGCTAATTTTTTATTAGTATTTAATAAATGTTACAGTTGTAATGATGCATTTTGAATAATTGTTTTATATTTTCTTTGTTTAATTGTTTAAATCTGAATGTTCTGTTATAGATTTAGTTAAATCTGTAAGTTTAACATGCACATGCAGTACTTATGAAACTTTTGTTACTGATTTCAGGTATGGGTTTGAAAAAGATATTTGTCAGAGAGCACTGAAAGAAAGTCATGATGATGTAGGTAAAGCCTTAGAGAGTCTATTGAAGGCATGTGCAGAAAAGTTTGTTCACAAAGATTTTTTCAAAGAATATGATTCCCCATTTAACCCCAAAGAAATAATGGAGGCTCGAGAAGAAGAAAAGATAGCTTTAGAGGCTATCTTTGGTAGTAGTTTTTGTGAACACATATTAAATAAGGTTTGGATAGTGACTTTACATCTTCCATACTTACATGAGTATTTCCAAAAACAAACACCTACACCAAATAAATCCTCCACATCTAAAGATAGATCCAAAGTTTGTATTTTCTATCAGCAAGGTAAATGTCGTTATGGAAGAAGTTGTAAATTTTCACATGCAAGTCAGCACACAGGTCCAGTAGAAAAAATTATTGTTGAGAAACAGGTGGAAAATGAACATTTTGAATTACAAGTTCGCTTTCCAGATAATAACTGCTATCCCTTTGAACCACCTCTTGTGTGTTTTTTAGCTCATAATGATTCTATTCCGTCAAGTGTATGTTTAAAGATTACATTATACTTGCTGAGGAAGGCTTATGTCCTAGCTGCTGATAATAATCCTGCTGTATATACCTTGACCACCTTGTTTGATGATAGAGATTCAATTTTAGCAGTTTTGGATGGAGAACAAATACACTTAAATTATTTTAGCCCTACCATCCATTCTCAACCTTATACTCGTGAACCAGAATCAAAAAATGAAGCTAGTACAGAAAATGAGATGGCAGAAACCAAGCAAAATTGTCAGCTTGGGAAAGAAATTTTTACAGACACATTGGACAACAGAAAATCTAGACTTCAAACAGAGAAAGAGATCCAAAAGTTGAAAAAAGCTTTTGTAGCAAAGCAGGTAATAAAAAAAACTTTTCATTCTTTAATCTGCAAACACCTTAAGGATTTAAAATGATGTTGAGATATGTCCAACAGTAACATATTGAAAACATTCTAAAATTTTTTTTATTTTGTTGTGTAACTTTTAAAGAAGTGTTTTTATTTCTAATAGTTAGCAGTTTTTTGTGGAGCCTCATGATAGCCTATTCAGAAAAGGGCTCATTGGATAACATTATTTATCACTCACTATGCTAGACTGATGAGCTAATATGTAAAGTTTGAAACTGTAGTTCTTAGCCTGGTGTGGAATGGTCCTAATGAACACTACAAAGGAGCACAAAGAAGAATGTGCTATTAATTTCCATAGTGAATTACAAGAAACCTTAAATACAATTATTATGACCAGAGTCAGATTAGGTGATTTTTGGGATTCAAGCATAACAAGGAACAATGGAGCAAAGAAATGAAAAACTACTTATATATGTAAAATAATGACACTTTAAACTCTTGTATTATAAACCATGCCGTCATGTGGTCCAGTGTGGTCATAGAATTATCTTTAGACCAATCACAAATAAATGCACAAAATTCTTAGTGTTTTGTAAAGATATAATGAATATCACATTCTTTAAACTTAACTGCTTCGCTACAGTATTATTAAGATTTACTTTGAGCATAAGTTCAGTTTACTTGATCAAAATGATGCTCCATGTTGGTTGAGAGGTGGTAAAGAATAAAAAGAGGGAAAATTGAATTCTGAAAATCAGCAACCCTGACCCTGCTATTGATAATATTTTTATTCATAGTTTCATGTAATTAGTAGAATACGTTTCCTTGTCCTCTTTTGTGCCTAAATTAAAAAATCATTGGCCATGTTGGCTCTGGTAATAATATAATTTTTATTGCAGTTACATGTAATTCAATATAGAAATCAAAAGAATATGCTTATTCCTACCTATTTGTGCTTCTTTTTGGTGTTTATTAGGACTCACATGGATTAGGATTTTTAATCAAATATGAACAAATATGCTTCATACTATGTTTGGTTGACAATATTTGGATTCACGTTGAAGCCTGCATCTAATTATTAATGTTTTCTTTAAGTGAAAAATAAACAAAAAACATTGACTATCTCATAAGTAAGTCAAGTATTCCATAGAAACATCAACACCGAAAATCCTAAGTGATGCCAATATTCATTTCAAAAATATTATTGAAATTATTGTTGAAAAGTATAGAGCATTTTTGTTAAAATAAATTACTGATAGATAGTTGCAAATAAAGGTACAGTTCTGGTCAGGTTTCTACAAGATGCTTTGTTCTTCATTAAATTGTAATTTTTATTGGTCATATTAAGTAATGTTTAGGTTTTCAGTGAAATTATATTGTTTTTAATTGTAAATATTCCATAATGGAATATTATGAGACCATTGCTCTCAAGCTCTTTAATATTTGTGATGAAGTTGAATAATTTGTATTTTGTGTTTAAGCTAAAAATTGTTGTTAAGATTGAGAATTTTTAATGTGTTTGATATAGCTTGATAATTGTAAATTATTTTTGTGCTCAACTGAGGAGGTCTGCAGTCAACTCGCAAGAAACAAATGGAAATGATATGTTCATTAGTGAAAACATTGTAATAATTTATTGTATTTGAACACACCATTTTTCAGTCAAATTCAAGATACTTAGAACGACAGAAACAACGACGGGAACTTCCTGCTTGGCAGGAAAGGCACATAATCTTAGAAGAACTATGTAACCACCAAGTGATTGTCATTAGTGGATTAACAGGGTAGGTAGATTCTGGCTTGTGATTTTAAAAGCTCTACTATGATTGTAAAAAGATGTGTAACTAATCCATCAAATAATCATTGAATAAAAACTTGATGGCTAGCTTTGACATTGTATCATTTTTCATTAAAGTTCCTGCCAAAAAAGCCTGTAATGTTGCACTTGACCTATACAGTTATGACCCCAATCCTTTAATTCACATCCCCAACACACTTTTTATTTCCCTTTTAAAAATTACAACAACAAAAACTTTCTTCAAACAGATGGTTTAAGTGTGGGAAACCCTGTTTCACCTGTTTTTGCCAACATATTTATGATCCAGGTTGAAAAACAAGTCAAACAATCCACACTTTTATCTTCCCCTATACTGGTACAGATATGTCAACAACACTTGTGCTGGTTTGACTCCTATGGAACACATAAACACTTTTTTGAACACACAAACTCCATTCACCCTAACATTAAATTCACCATTGAACATGAAAATAACAAACAGTTGTCTTTTCTTAACCTCGACATTATTACATCCGACACACATTTCAAAACCAAAATTCACCGAAAAATCACTCGCACAGGTCTTTACATCCCCTGGAATTCTGCACATTAATCCAAACAAAAAATTAATATGCTATAAAATCTTATACACACACAGCTTCAAGACTGTTCAACTGAGTACATAGATGAAGAAATCAACTCTATAAAGCATTCCTTCATTCACACCAACAAATTTCCACTAACCATTGTTGAAACATTTCTACACAACTACCAGAACAAAAACCTCAAGACTCAATTCACAAATAAAATTAACACTGATACACCAAACAACAACACAACATTACACTGCAGTATACCATTTATCCCTAACATCAGGTAAAAAATAATCAACACTTAGAGAAAACTTATCGTCAAACATAGAATTCCTGTTGACATCAAATTCACCCAAAAAAGCATTATTAAATAAAAATTATGTAGAATCACACAATTCCAACATCATTTATAAAATAACATGCAATAACTGTCCAGAATTTTACATTGGAGAAACAGATAGGAAATTGCAAACCAGATTCACTGAAGAAAATAAAAAACCTTTCCATGTTTACCACCATTGCAACTCAAAAAACCACAATAAATCCATACAAAACACTGTAATTTTAAACAAAGAACCTAACATCAATAAACGAAAATAAAAGAAGCTATCTTAATTGAAGAAAACAGCCCCACCCTAAATCAACACTCCAGGGTACCAAGATACCTGTATTAAATTGTGAAGCAATATCCAGTCATGTGATCTTTGTTCTATACTACATGTATGTACTCTTGTATCTCTGTAAACTACTTATACCCGAGGATGACAAAATCTTGTCAAAATGTCACTTTTATAATAAAGTTTTTCATTAACCAGTCAAGCCATCTCAAAACTGTTAATCATTGAATAAGTCTTCTACAGCTTTCTTTCTGACTCATCTTGTAATGTCACTTGTTCATGAACTAGCATACAGCTCATGAGAAACTTCCTCCACTAATTAACAACTTCATCTATATTTAAATCTGCAGTAATCTCCTCTAGCTTTTGTTCCTTGTCAACAATTTGCAATTTGTATGTTATCAGTTTTTGATATTTCCTCTTTCCGAGATTGAGTTTTTTAGAGAGTTGTTTTCAGCTATTTCTTGTGGTTTGGAGATGAGAAAGTTTGGCATCTCAAATGTTTCACTTCATGTCCCCATTCTTGCGAACTGTATAGGATTTCTCTTTTGTGTGTGGTAATATTAATCATCAGTTCTGAGTTCATCCACTAGGGTTGTTCATTCATTTGACACTTAGTGTCATTGTGTTTTTTGTATAGACTTTCATTATTACACATGTTAGGTTATTCTTGTAGAGCTAAAGGAATCCTAATTCCACATCTGGGTAACAAGATAAGCTCACTATCGTTCTTTACATTAGCCTGTTGAACTGGTAATGATTATTGAGAGATCCTTAGTTGTAGTTGTGTTTCACTCTTCTGCACTCTTTTTAAGTTCATAGCTTGATCATTTTCTTGTTGGGGTTCATATATTCTTTCTTCATTGCCTGGGAAGAGAACTAGACAAATTTATTTTCTGGTTTTAGACAAAAGCTTTGGCCTCAAGGAATATTTGGTGGTGTTTCATTTAATAAGTTTTATTGTAGTTTATTACATCAATTACCTAGAAAGTGTCACCAAGATCTTTGCTTTGTGACATTTAATTTTTTACAGTGGACTTTATCTGTTTCTTTGCAGATGTGCCATGTTTATTTTTTCTAATCAGATATGTCATAACGGTAAAGTTCTTCCAGTCTATTTCCTTAATTTCCTTATTCATTCTTCCAGTAAAGTTCTTCCAGTCTATTTCCTTAATTTCCTTATTCATTCTCTTCTCTTTTAGTAACACTCCCAACAGTCATCTCAGCATTCTAATTTCTGTTCCTATCAACAATCCTTGTTTCTTCTTCAGGGTCCAGATCTTGGCTACATAGAGAAGCACTGGTATAATCTTGGTCTTATATACTTTAGCTTTCAATGCCCTTGGTATCCTTTTGTTACAGATGACTGTGGCTACTTCCTTTCATTTCTTCCAACCCACTTGGATTCTATCTTTAACTGAAAATTTTATGTACCTAAATATGCAAAAACATATCACAATTAAGACTTGAATTATCATCATTTATGAGCTAAAAATTTCATCTGACATTTCATAAATGAAATAATTCATAGCATAAATATTTTTCTAAGTAATTCAAACATATTACATATCTGAAAAAATTAAGATACAACTTCTTCCACATCAAAGTTTTTACTGTTAGAGCTTGGAAAGAAAATACTTTAAAATGAATAGCAGAAAAACTGAAGCCACAGTGAGTGAAAGGGGTAGAAAGAATAAGATCAAGATCACATATGTAAACAGGAAGCCACTGGAGCAAGTAGAAGACTTTAGGTACTTGCAAAGTACAATCCAAAGTAAAGGAGGAAGTCAGAAAGTTGTGGGAAAATAGCAAGTATTCATTTGAGTATTCTTTTTTTCACAGTTGTTTGTTAGTTTAATATTGAAACTAACCTTTTGATTCATAAAAAAATATACAAATTAATACAAATTATATGCTAGATAATATACTCAACTGGATTTTTTCTTTAATAAGACTGTCAAGAGACTTACTTTTTGAGTAATAGTAAGAAATATATATATATAGGTGTGTGTTGGGCTGAGGTTTCTTCTACAGCAGGTGTCTGTGGCTTGTTAGTGATAAACTCAAAAATCACACAAATAGCACTCACTCCATTTGTTTTCAAAATAATATGTATATTCATAACTAGTTAAACATGTACAACAAATTCTTTACACTATAGAGATCATAGGCATATCATAAATACTATATAATTTAGACATATTAAATTGCTTTAGAATTTCTTTTGACAATCCGAACCATTTTCTCTATTACTATCTTGAAACTATCCAAGTATAATTCATTTACTTTATCTTCAAGTTACCATGGTTGTATCCTATACTTCTAAAATCGTCTATTTGTCAAATTCCACTGATGCCAGTTCAATTACTTTAGAACTCTTTGATGAAATAAACTATTCTTCTTATCGCTTTCAACACCGTTAGTCTCACTCTAATATACCAACCCTTAGACCTTTATTAATTGTAAGGCCTTTCACTTTCATGACGATTAACTTGGTGTTTAACTTTTCTTTGGCTAAATTCCTTCTCATAACTTTACGTCTTATCTGCTCTGTCTTTATCTGTCTGTCTACATTTCTTGCTCATCTCACACTATTTATATGTTTATTACTTAATCGTCTGCTCGCTATACCCTTGACATCAATAAATTTCAAGCGATATTCAATAATCTCAACATCAGTGAGTGACAAACGCAATGTACAACTTTTACCGAGTTACATAACTGAACTTGTCATAACATTTACTTTAGAATAATTGCTTCTAACTCTCTTGTTATGAACAAAACTAAACAATCATAAAATATTCACTCACTAAATAAATAAATTAATAATATCTACACTAAACAGTATTTTATATTATGACAGAGACTTGTTTGTGTTTCACATATAGAGAAAATGTTTTACTACAAAATGCATCCATCCATGACAGTTCATGTGCCTACAACCCTTAGAAACAGTAATAACAATCCTTAAGCTCCCACCTCAAAACATTCTTGGACTTACTTGACAATGCCAATGTAAGTACTGAATTTCTTATTTTGTAGTTATATACTTTTATTTGTTCTTACAAAAGTAACTAAATGTAAAGATTAGAAACTTAATACGTTAGATATAAAAAAATGAAAAAAAATTCTTAGTGATACTTAATATCCTAAAGAGCATGAGCTCATTGCATGGCATGATTATAATTTGATCATGGCATGCTTGGAACTTAATAATTGTTTTTATAAAGCTGTAGAGCTCTGATAAATAGCTTTTGGCATACTGTAAGACTATCTAAGTGCACATGCAAAGTAGTAAAACTAAATCTACCCATATTTGAGAAGTGTGTTAGCTTTGGCTGTAAAAATATAATGTGTAATTGTGTCACATTGTGCAGTCATTCTGTAAAGGAAAAAAAAAGGTAATTTAGATTTAATATTTTTTCAACTTTTCATCTTACCTTACATTGCTGATTTCACAACAGTTAGTGTTAGGGTAAAGAAAATAAGAGATAAAATATGAGGTTTCTCTGAAAAATCTTTTGATATTCATTTAGGAAGTTCTAGAGGTTATGCAAGTGAAATATGAAAGCTGTAATATGAAAAGAAGTGTTTTTATTCTTAGCATGAATATCACCTTTCATTCAGACTGACTCCTCATTGGGTTTGGAAAATCACAGTCAAATCTTTAGTAAAAATACTTTATTAATAAATCTGCTTTTTTTATGTACATCAGGCTTGTAATGTTTATTAAAAGCCTGCCAAATTTTGTGAAGATACCCTAAGGACATTCAGTTATAGTATGTCAAGTTTCATGGTTATGTGGTGCTTACAAGGGCAGTCAGAGTGACTGAGACTAATTTCAGAGTTGTTTAGTTCATTTTTCTTTTCTCTTATTTCACATTCAGATTTTTTCATGACATTATAGGTGTGGAAAGACCACTCAAGTGCCTCAGTATATCTTAGATGATTGGCTAAGAGGAAATTCTTCATCACATTGCTTGATAATTTGTACACAGCCAAGGAGAATTTCTGCAATATCAGTGGCTGAAAGGGTTGCATTTGAGAGATCAGAAAAACTAGGTGAAAGTGTTGGTTATCAAATTAGAATGGAGAGTGTTCAGGTGAGAAAATATTATTTATAATTATTAATTGTTGTTTAGGAAGTAAGAATACAATTTATCGTTTTTTTATTCTGATCTAGTCAAAGATTAATAGACTAATGTGAAATTGTAATATAACTTATTTTTACATTTTCTTACTTTTTTTTAACTTCAGTCTACTCAGACATGTCTGCTGTTTTGTACCATGGGCATCTTGCTACGAAGACTTGAAGGTGATCCTCAGCTAAGTGGAGTGACTCATTTACTTGTTGATGAAGTTCATGAGAGAAGTGAAGAAAGGTGATTTTTATTCCAAATATCTTTTGTTAATGTTAATTTCTGGTAAAAAAGATTTGTTAGTCATCAGATCATATCTTGCTTTATCGATAAACAAATGAATAGATAAATGTATAAATTCTGTATAGATCTATAATAATAAAAGGGTGCGTTTGTGTGTGACCACCATAGATCCAAGAAGAAAGAACCTAGAAACCTGATATTTTGCACACACAGATAAGTAATAATACCCATGTGCACACCCTCAGGGTTCACTCAGTATTGGTGCAAATTTTCAGGTTTCTAAGTTCTTTCCTCTTAAAGCTATGGCAGTCACACTTCTTTTCTATGTGGTTTTTGCACGCATGTGGATAAGTATTAATACCCAGGTGCACATCCTCAGGATCCACTTAGTATGTGTATGTGTGTGTGCACATTTTTAATGAGGCAAGCTGGAAAAAAAACACATAGAAAAGAAGTAGTTCCTTATATTAGTTCATCAGGAAATTAATGATGCTCTTTTTAGATGAAAAAACCCAAACAACTTGTATGTCAAAACAAAACATTTATTAAATGAAATAGTCTCCATTATTATTGATTATTCTTTTCCATCTTACAATCAGGTTGTTAATGCCCTGATTAAAGAAATCACTTGGCTTTGAAGCAAAAACTTGTCGATGTCCTCTTTTAACACCTTTCACATTTGCATATGTTTTTCCATTAAGATGGTGTTGCAGCAAACAAAAAAGATGGTAATCTGATGGTGCCTATCTAGAGAACTTCCCAACCCAACTCCATAATCTTGTGTTGCATCAAATGTGTCACAAGTGAAGGGCATTTCTGATGAAGGGCTTGATTTAAATGTTTCAGTTGTTGACTATAGATCTCTGCATTGACAGTTTGCTGTAGATTGAGGAGTTTGAAGTGAATTACTACTTTGATGTCCCACCAAATGTAAAGCATCACTTTCTGTGGATGAAGTCCAGGTTTTGGGGTAAGAAGTGGTTTATGTCTAGAACAGAGTCATTGTTTTTGGCATTTGATATTCGCATAGAGAATCCATTTTTCATCACCTGTGACAATTCTGTCCAAAAATGATCCATGTGCATTATGTGCCAGAAGAGACGAAGCAACGTTCACATGTTGGAAATGATGATCATCAGAGAGTTTGTGAGGCACCCAAACACCTTCTTTATGTAGTTTCCCATGTTGCTCGGATGTTTTATGTATTGTTTCATGAGAGATATGCAATTTCAGGGCCATTTCACGAGCGTGTTGTCTTGGGTTAAATTCAACAAGCATCTTCAGAGCATCAATATCAATTCCAACATGTCGGCTACTCCCATCACAATTTTTAGGCTAAAGTCCCCTGAACAAAATTTGCTGAACCATCATTGACACTTATGAACATTCAAAACATTTCCATAAACTTTTTTGATATTTTTTGTGGCTGTAGAGGCATTGTTTCCCTTCTTGTATTGAAACAGCATTACATGCCGATTGTGTGTCTTGTCATGTGCCATCACTATAAGGGATTGGAGTATACTAAACTTTATGCATTATATAGGCTACATTAACATGATGTTTGGGGGTGGTTAATGAAAGTGTACCAAAACTTGACATTAATTTCTTGACAACCTAATATTACAAATAGAAATGACATACAAACAGACACTCAAGTGCACGTCTGTGTATGTGTGTGTGTGTGTGTGTGTGTGTGTATGTTTGACTGCTATAGCTTCAAGAGGAAAGAACCTAGAAATCTGCAACTTTGCATCCATACTAAATGGACCCTGAGGGTGTGCAACTGGGTATTCAGATGAGTGTGTGGATGAGTGTTTGCATCTTTTAAATGAAGAAAGCTAGCAAAAAGCCACATAGAAAAGAAATGTTTCCTTATATTACAAATAGAAATCACAGACAGACATACATGTATGTACATGTGCGATCGCGTGTGTGTGTGCATTTTTTTAATGTGGCAAGCTAGTGAAAAAACACATAGAAAAGAAATGGTTTTTTATATAACAACATCTAATATATATAGAAAAGCCAGTGCATTTTGGTAACAATGCATTACAACAGTGGCTTTTATGTCATGTTGCTTAACAACAAAAATATAACCTAGTATTGTTGTTAGACTATATACTTTTATGACTTTTCTATGTTTCTGGCAATAAAAATATGTTTAAAATATTTTTGACTGTTCTTCTATGCTAAAATAGGTTCAGAAAACACACCCTGACATAGTCATCTAGAATATATCAACCTAATAACCTGAGCAAAGCTGGGTACTTTTGATTGTTTATTAATACTTTTGCATGTACCAGAATATAATCATAAACATGAAGTAGTTTGTTGAGAAACCAAATACCGTTGTATAGTTTATGAAAGTTACATACATCTATAGTTGTATTAAATTAAGTAATTTCTCATAAAATGGATCTCTATTGGTGATAAGTTTGAAAAAAAAACCCAAAAAATAATTAGATGGTGTAAAAGTATTGATATTTACACCTTGGATTGAAAGGTATGTAAAACATTTATGATATTAAGAGTTTTGGGTTTGTTTAAGAACACACTTTTTTAAAATAATTATAGAACTTGTAGGCAAAAACAAACATAAGTTTATCTTGTAAAGTTTATGTGTTTAACTCTAAGATTTTTTAATGAAATGAGACTGAAGTTTTTTATTTATTTTTGAATTTTAATGTGATTTATAGTGACTACTTACTTATGGTGCTTCGAGATATCCTTCCACAACGACCAGATCTTAAGCTTGTGCTGATGAGTGCAACCCTTAATGCTAGATTATTTTCAGAATACTTTGGACATTGTTCTAATATTGAAATACCAGGTAAGTTTAATAAATGTCATACTTATTAATTTGTTTACAGATTCCAAATTAGATGTTTATGAAAATAATTTTTTAGATCTAACTTTTGTCCTCCACAACTCACTACTTAGGATATTATTTCTTCAATATCAGAACTTGTCAGCTAAATAGAACATCGTGACAATCAAAAGGCTGTCTAAAATGTTTTTTTAGGATTGGGATCCCTTTCCATGCAAGTGGACAAGTCATGACACCCAACTCCCATCTTCGGGAGTCCAAAAGAGATAAATTCAATACATTTCTTGCTAGGATAGTACAGTTCTGCACATTCAGTTTATTTTAAAATTTAAAAAATATGAAAGACTATAATACCACTTACTCTTTGCAAACCTCTTGATAACCCTTTACAGTTCCTATCTCTGGGGGCTGTAACCAACAGTTTGAAAGTACCTGATTTATCTTGATTTTGTATTAAGCCTATTGGTTTTTTTGCTTTTCCAGCTATTGGTGTTTAAAATCAATAGAATAAGTTGAGTAAAAATACATAACCAGGTTATAGATGAATTACAACAAGGATGTCATTTGTGTTAAGAATTTAAGTGTTTTTAGTGAAAACTGAGATGAAGTGGAATTCATACTAAAACCAAGAAAATGCTTTTACAACTAAACTACTCTGTCTTTAGTGTCATAAAACTTAGTTTTTTTACTTTATGATTAAAGGCAATATTTGTTAGTAGTCTTGAGTTATATATCTGAAAAGCTGTTTATTGCATATGAGGTTTTAGTTTAGAAGCTTAGTTTTTAATTCACTTGTTACTAACATTGCATTTTTAGTTTGTAGAGATTCATATAAGGTTTTTTGTTTATAAGCTTAGTTTTAATTTGTTTGTTGCTAACATTGCATATTACTTTGTAGAGAAACACTGAAGGTTTTAGTTTAGAATCTTAGTTTTCAACTCACTTGTTACTAATATTGGTTTTTGGTTTGTAGAGTTGCATATCAGTTTTTAATGCCCTCCATGGCATAGATGCTAGAAACCAGATCTCAATACCTGTGGTGGGCAGAGTACAGATAGCCCAATGTGTAGCTTTGTGCTTAACTACAAACAAACAAACAGGTTTTAATTTAGAAGGTTAATTATTAACTCTCTCAACAGGGGCTCAGTCAATTTGACCAACCACATACAAAAAATCATATTTGTTAGTGAAGTATTTTTAATAAAGTGAAGATTTGTCCATTAATATATTGAGTATTTGTTTTGAATAATCCGTGCGAAAAATAATTTTCATGTTAAAACTAAAAATACTTTTTCTCATCTCAAAAATCTCAAATTTCTTGTGTGATCCTTAGAACCTCCTAAATGCATTTCAAACGTCTTTCTTCAGTAAAACCTTATAGTTTATCTGTAATTTTCTCTACCCTATCTCAAAATGGGATTGATCAATTCGGCGGACCTCATAACCATAAAAAAAAATCGAAATAAAACTAAATTACCCTTTTTTTTTTCTTTCTAAAATGACTTCAAATTGTAACATGACACTACATTTGTTTATTCCAAGCAGCTCTGAGTTTGTAACTGTATACATCTATTTATAATTAAATTTTATTGTTTTATTTCCCTTTGAACTGTGTCTAACTACTATCTGCTCCATTATAAGTTGCAAATCACTCGGGAAATGTGCAGCTCACTTTACGCTATCGAATTTCATAACCCACTAGCTGCTCGCATGTGTGCCTCGCAAACCATTTTAATTATAATTTTATTATTATTACTTATTTTAACTAATCTAGTCTTAAATAACTTTAAAAGATCTGTATTTTAGATTTGTTACTTTTATACTAATAAATAAAGAATACATATAAAAAATAAATACTTACCTAATTATCTCTTTTCTTGCTGTCAAGTTTTGAAAAGAGTTAACCCAAATTTTTTATATTATAGATAGTAATGCACTTAATAATTTTTATTTCATTAAATAATGAACCAAAGAATATAGACTAATAACATGCAAAAAGTAGGCAAATTCCCTTACCTCTCAAAATTTTCCTGGCTTTCTAACTATGCAACAAGAGCTGTTTCAAGTTCATCCAAGCTAATTGTTAACTTTCCCATGGGAATGAGTCTTGTACTGTGAGTGAAATTGACAATATTCTGTTTAGAATACAACTTTATACAATACATCATTTTATAGATGAAAACCTTGACTTTCTGTTGGTTATAGGTAATATATAATGAAACGTAAGAGAAGAACTATCAACGAATTGTGAAAGAGAGGATGTGAGAGGTGGGTGTGGCAGGAGGGGTATGATTTCCTGTTTGATAGCTTTGTAACCAAACAAAATTGAAGGCTATAAAATTATGATTTGGTTGAACAATAACAATTTTATAGAGAGTATTTTACGTTTAATTTTCTACATTTTCGAGGGGTGATAGATAAAATAGGGATGATGCATGTGCTAAGACAAAATGTGTCATGTGGGTCACACTAGTGGAAATTTAGGATTTTTTAAAATATTGCTTTGTAGAATGAAGAATTTAAAACTTTTATGCTATTCTAATTAGCATAACGTAAACAAAAAGTAGTTTGATAAAATATTGTATTTAAGACACTAAAACCTTGTGTCATGTGCAATAAATGGAACCAGGGGCAATAGGATTAACTCGCTTGTTACTAACATTGCAGTATTAGTTTACACAGATACATATAAGGTTTTAGCTTAGAAGCTTAGTTTTTAACTTGCTTGTTACTAACACAATGTTTTTTGTAGAGACACATATAAGCTTGTAGTAAGGGGTGAAATTCTGCTGGCAGTACTGGGACCTATTTTAATGTTAATACTCAGTACCAGGACTTTCTTGATTTGCTTTTCATCCAACCTGGATACCTTCCATCATGTTGTCAGGAAGCAGACATGTCGTGATTCACAGAATCTAAACAATTGTTAAATATTCTTCAAATGATTCACTAAATAACCTAATGACATTAGCTTATGGCAACATGATCATGAGTAGAAGTTATTTGCAGCTTTGATGTCTTGGGTAGTCTCATCTGGCTGTGTGATTTGTATGTTTGGTCAGTAATGATAAGTATATGTTCAAATGATGCATTTTATTGACTGATATGCTTTCATTGGAACCCACCCTTGATATTAGCACGTATAATGTCTTTTTGTCATCTTATCTGTCAATGGAATGAGAAGCAAAATAAAAAAACGAGTGTTTGTATGTTGTTGTTATTTTTTTGTAAATTATACTATAAATTACACATATAAACAAAATCTTTTTTGTATGTGCATTTAAATACCAGCATTCTTTTGTTGAGAATTTCATCTCTGTTTGTAGTACAGAAACTTAGTTTTAACTCACACATCAGTAACATTGTGTTTTTAATTTGTACATGTGCATATTAGCAAAAATACCAAAAAATATGTAGTAAGAGCTTTTTAGTTATATAAAAAGTCTTAAGTGTGAACAGAAAATACAGAACCCATACACTGCTGTCATTATAACAGCTCTAAAAGTCTGAGCTTCTGATTTTTTACGTGTTGCCTGACATGCATTATAATCATTAGATAAAGCTAAACTAGGTGTAATGGAATTACAAAATAATCAAATCACCATTTTTATAAGACTCTAAATAAAGTAAATATTTATAAAATTTCACCCTTCCCAGCCCAATTTGGCAGTTTAGTTTGTCAATATATTCTGTTAAAGCCTTAATATTCAATAACCTATAATACTTTATTTTAATTTTCTTTTTCAGTATTTACCTCCTTCCATAACTTTTCTTAATACAAATTATTTGAGAGAAGCCCTTACAAAGGATTATTCTCTGCCACAAAGCAAAACTGGCTAGTACCTTGTATGGCTAGGCAATTAGTAGAATTTGCTAATTGACTGCATTCTAAGAATAGTAATCAGAAACACCAATTTCAATTAGTTGATTACTTTTGGCCATATCTAATGAGCTTCTGCAGATATATTCATGTCTAAAACAGTTTAATTCACTTGTAAAATACTGATGTGTAGGAAATATTTTACAGATAAGTTACATGCATATCACAATTTACAGGCAAGTATCATATTCACATTTTAAAAAATAGGTGTATTACACATATGATTTAGGTAGCTTATAGTGTGCTATCTACAACTTTAAAATAGGTTAGTGCATGTAGGTCAGGCAATGTACAGTAAGTTAAGAATTTAAGTTGGGATGTACTACAAGCTTTGCATGTGAACAGTAATGTACTGTCAAAAAGAGGTTATTAACAGCTGCACGCTAACTGTACACAATTTTACAGAAATTAATATTGTAATGTATCATGCAAGAAAACTTGTAATGCTTGATTTTTCTGCATTTAAACTATAAAATTATATAGAAAAAAATACCATTTAGAATAAAAGTAACAAATCATTGTAGTTTTCACTTTTAAATTGTTAAACTGTTATAATAGAAAACAAGATTTATGTAGTCAACATTTTCACTCAAGTACCTTCATTGGTTACTTGACTGAAACATTGACATTCTGTTCTTTATCTTTAATATGATAGTAACTTTTTGTTTGACCATTTAAAATGCATGTATATGTTTAATAGGTATTACCTTTTTATATTTGCTTTAATAATAAGACCAAAACTTAACAGCTTTATTATATATTCACGGACAATATAAGTAAAAGGAATTCTTGTAATAATTTTTTACTTTACATTAATGTAAAAGCAGATTCTTCATATTTTGTTATAACTTCATAAGTTATATTTTGAGAATTTGTTATAAAAGAAGAGCATCATTTGACATGTACACCTTTTCCTAAAGGCAACTGACTGTCTTGTCTATTTCCATGTTATTCTGGAAATTGTTTTGCTTGCATAGATGGAAAGGTTTTCAAAAGTGATGTAGTGATTTTGTGCATACATTTATGTTCTAATATTCTATGCTTGTGACTTTTAGCCCTTTTTTTTTTCATTTTGACCACTTTCTCTACAGAATTTTTTTTTTCCAGATTCACTACAAGTTTGGCAATTTAAACTTTGAATATTTTAGAGGGCTGTAGCCTTTTCAAAACTAGATAGAATGTGAATAAAAGAAAAATTATGATGACAATGAAGTCTTTTTGAGGACAGAACTTTTTGCAGGACTTGTTTGAGCATGGGTAGACCTGAGATCTTCTGCCTTTCACCATCCAGTCGCTAAGAAACATTCATCTTTATTACATTATATATATACTACATTATATTAAAATTATTTGGAAACATCACCACATCTCTACATACCATGTTTCCATGCTCGGTCATGCTGTATCTGAAGGCTATGTTTCCTATCAATTACCCTGCAGTGTAGTTTCCATTTCAAAAGGCTTCATTGTAAGACTTTCATGTCCAAAGTAATCCACCATTTCATGCTGTTTTCCATAATCTGTCTAGTGTAGGAGAATAGTGATTTCCAATGCTTGTTTCAACAGTTCATTCTCACAGAAATCCATAAGTAATGTGTTTGGTGACTTGACCAGTATGTCTTCATCTGGAATAGCATAATTACCCCTTTTTTATTCTCCAGCTGCTTGAGGTATGCAAAAGTTGAACAGATATGTTGTGGAAGCAACTTGTGTCACTTTTCCAGATGGTGTTCCTTCTTGATTATGTCGTGTATTATTGCCAGGGGATGTGGACTGCTTTTACCACTGACCTTTGTATTCATGGATCCTCACCTGTTACAACACTTTACCATGGTTGATGTACAACTTGTTGCTGGTTTCTTTCTGCATGGTTCTGGTGCTACAAGTTGATCCATATTCCTTTGTTTTTCAGTAGGTATTAAGTACAATGGTTATCACCATCTTGGAAATTCTAAATTCCCCATCTGAACATACCTTCATGATCGGAGTGTTTCAATGTTTTGCATTGGAAAAGGCTGTTACTACCTTTCCCAAAAGTGATGACTGCTTTTTGGTGACATCACATTACATACAAAACATGGAACATTATCAAAATATAGTTCTGAATTATGCTTTTCACTGCAGCTTTATATTGGCTGTAGCCACATGACTTGCTGATTTACATATTAAATATTTTTTTAATGTAATTTACTCCTCCTGTACTTTCAGTGATTGGTAACATTGGTCTTAAGTTTGGTTTAACTCTATAGACATGTGAAAATCAATGTGCAAATGTCCAACATTTTACAGAGTTACACAGTTACATTCAAAATTTAATTAAACTACTTTATTATCAGTTATTAATAAACTTGGAATCGAAGCATAGTTTATAATTCACCTTTTTATATTATTTAAGTTTTAATTTCAGAAGCCAGAATATAACACTTCAACTTCTTATCTTCTTGAGATAACCCCCATTGACATGCCCTTCTCATGTTCTCTGTCTTTTAAGAAAGAAGATGTGAAACTGTTAGGAGTCTGAAGCATTTAGAATAAATAATTGTAATTGTCTGTTACAATATGCAATAATTCTAGAAGAAAAACTATTTTTTATTTCATATTTTTCAACTTTTACTATGGATAATTTCATTGTGGTTGAGGTAAAAAACACAAAAAATAATATGTAAAGTTTTACTGAAAAATCTTTTGATATTCATTTAGGAGGTTCTAGAAGTTATGCAATATGAAAGCTATAAGATGAAATAAATCTTTTTATTCTTAGCATGAAAATCACATTTTTCTTAGACTGACTCAATAAAGGCTTCATAAATTTACAGAAAATTCTTTAATAAAAATACTTTATTAAATATTCTGATTTTTTGTATACAACAGATTTGTAATGCATATTAAAATCCAGCAAAATTTTGTGAAGATATGTTTAGTATGTTCAGAGTTATAGTGTGTATTTATAGTCTCATGGTTACATGGTAGATAGTTACAAGGTCAGTTAAATTGACTCAATATGTGTATGGTTAACTGAAATCTCGCCCACTTATGGATTAATATTTTACTTTGTAGGAGGTTAATTTGAAACATTCGTATACTTTCAGTTTTTAATTATTTACACAAGAATGTATATGGAGACAATAGAAAAGGATTTTATAAAAAAAAATTTGACACTTTCTATAATCTATTGGCTGTATTAATGAAAAAAAAACCTCTGTAATTAGACCAGATTAAAGGCTGGTAATGTAAATAAATTTATCATGAATTTTTGCAAGCTCTGAATTATTCAAAGTAGTAGTTTTGGTTCGTATTCTAGTTTTAAAACGTTTCTTTCTTAAGTGTTAATAAAATATCTTTGGAATGTAAAAATAACAAAAAACATTATCATTCATCAGGTCGTACTTTTCCTGTTAAAGAGTTTTTCCTAGAAGATGCATTACATATGACAAAGTGAGTAATAGATTATCATAAAAAAATTTTGATGTAAATGTATAATACGCAGTTTGATTTGAAAAACTAAGGACAAGTCAGTTTTATTCTGTGCAATAGTATTGTCTTTGCTTCAAAATTGCATGTTATGTAGAATTACAAAAATTAACTCTTGGGGTTTGTCACAATTTTTTCTTTTGCTTGGATTCTTACAAGTAGTTAGCAGCTTTTGCCATGTTAAACGTTAGTACAGGTTTTTGTTAATGTGAAGTATTTAAGTATTAGTTCTTAATGTAAATGAATATTTCTTGTTTTTTAATTTTTTCTTTCAGTTTTCTAATTTTCTGTTAACTGAATTCCTTCTGTGTTCTAAGTCTCATTTTTGTTGTATCTTTCTTAGTATCTCCTTGAGTATATATGTCTGTGTATCAAATGTTAGTTTTACTTTTAATATTAAGATGTGGTGATATTAGGATTAATATTATCTGTAACATTTCATTTCTAGTGTAGTGCAATTTTAGTTTAATTTGAACTTTGATCTCCTGACAAATAATCTGGTTTTTAATCAAGGTTTTTAGGCTGTGTAGACAGGATAGAGTTTAAGATTTAATGGACTGCTTCTGTCTGTTTCTGGTAGAATTGGACAACATTCCGGCTTCTCTACTGAGGTCTTTTTTCAGATCAAAATCAAAGTTATCAACTGTGTAACAACTTTTGGTTTGTTAACCTGTAATAGTGTTATTTCCTTTAAATTTGCCTCTCTTTGTGGTTAGGCATATCTGGAGATTTATTGTATAAAGGTTGTTGATGTTAAAGCTGTAACTTCAAATAAAGGGATTATGTGTGTAATTTTGATTTTCCAGTGGTGAGCCATGTCTAGAAATAATGTTGGTCCCAGTTTATGATATGGCTTGTTTTGTAATTATGTTCTATCGATGCAGATTTTTCTGGACGCATCAATCTAGTTCTTTCCTTTTGTTTTTTAAGTCTTTGTTCTATAATTTAACCTGTTTCTGCATTTCCAAGATGTCAAAACTATTGATCCGAATTTTTGATAAAACTGCATTTCAACCAGTGAGTGACATCACATCCCATGCATGGCAAACTTACTGTCAATAATGTTACTTGAGGACACTGAGTATTTCATCTGAACTCCTTAAACCACTGTTGTCATGTAAAAGAGCAAAGGACTTTTTTATATATTTTCATGCAGAAGATGTGATAAAGTGTTTTAATAATTTAGAAGAAGGTTAAGTAATCTAAAGTTCAACTTTTTCCATTCTTTCTCAGTTAGAACTGAATATTTTCTGAGATTGATTTAGGTGCTCAGAAATAACAATTGATGTATAACTTTACAACAGGTACATAATGGAAGATGGATCACCTTATATGAAGGAACAAGCAAAAGGAAAATGGAAGGATATTGACGATGAAAGGGAAGATAAATACCGTTGTGGAAATCTTGATAAAGATTCTGATAGTAATTTATCTGTTAAAATGCTGGCTTTACGATACCCAGGTATGAGAGAAGGGAACCTTTGAAAGATTTTTAAGTTTTAAAAGTTTGTTAAACCAAATTCTATTCAGGAATTTAATTCATGCATTCTACTATTTAATCAACTACAATAAGGCTAGTGATTTGCATTAAAACATAATGAATTTAAACAAGTTAGTCATAGTTTTGTATATAATAAAAGTATATTAGATTCATTGAGCAAGAAAAAGCACCAAAATAACATTTTTTAGCAGAATTAACTTCAGTATTGTAAGTGAAATGATACTTGAAATATTTTTTAATGGACATTAAATTTTTGACCTTCAAAAATCATGTTATGCATCAACAAAATATTATCACCGTAAAAGTTTTTGGAAAAAGTCAGCCTTAAAAAACTACTCTGCTAGGCATAATCTGAATTCTTTATGAAACAGAATGTTTCTTTTTACTTTTTAATATTTTGGTGACATATCTAGAGATGAAGATGATGAAAAGGGGTTAGAAAAATTGTAAAGTTGAATTTCAAGATAGTTTTTAGAATGCATAGGATAAAAAGATAAAATATGAAATATATAACAATGTTTTCTATAAAATAACTTAAAAGTGTTTGAAATTTTTTAATTGGTTATCTCTTATGACTCAAAAATGTATAAGTGCAAAATATACTGTTACTTAAAGACAATAAGTTGAAAATAAACATATGCTAAACCAGTGGTTCCTAACCACTGGTCTGTAGACTGGTGCTATTCCACAGGAAGATATCCATTGCTCTGCAAGACTGTTCACAAAAAAAATATATCTTTTACAATACAGCTACTGAAGTATATTATTTTACAATGTAGATTAAAAGTACTTTAATAAGCTAATATTATATTAAATAGTCCATGAAATTTTGGGACCATAACTAACTCATTCTCAGTTGGAAAAAGGTTAAAAGTCATCGCACTAAACTAACAGAAAAAGAAGTAAAAATGAAAATCTAGCTTTAGGAATAAGAACAAAAAGGATTTATTATATTTTTTAAATTTGTATTTACATATTTTGGAAACTTTTTGAGTCGTAAGTGAAAACCCAGTTTTATAGATTTTACACCACAGTACTATGTCAGTTATAAACTTTCTTCATTTTTGCAGCATGGTATCTACTTTTAAACTTCTATAACAAGATTGTTTTAAATATTTTCCTTTAAAGTGATTTTATTCTGAATAACAATAAATTATAGTACCTCTAAATATAAATAGTCAGTTCAGCATTTTTATTTTCAGGTTGCAGTAAAAATTCTCTTGAAACATTGGCAGCCATGGATTTGCAAAAGATCAATTATGACCTAATAGAAGCTGTTCTTGACTGGATTGTGAGTGATGAACATGAGGTACAGCAAATATGAAATATGAACTTTTTAACTTAGTACTAACTTACTAAATCATAAAAAGGTGACTCAACACATTTCTGGTTATTCAGTCACAATTGATACTGCTCGTGTCAAAAACTTCAGTGATGAAGATTTTATCTTCCAAATCTAATGAAACAAAATGTATTTTTTTTTTTTTTCATTTAGATATATTTAATATATGTATTAATTACTTCATGTAAGTTTCTTAAGTGACTAAAATGAGAAATACAATGTTCAAGACATAACTAATTGAAATCTGGACAAGGACAAAATTTTTATTTAAATTCAGATTTTTAAAATTTTAAGTAAAGTTATTGTTT